CCAGCTCTAGCCTCTTTCTAGTAGCCTTCGTTCCCAAGCATTCCTTCCTTCTCAGCATTCCCTTTCCATCTATCAGTACACCTGTGCTCTCCCTTCTGCCACTACTCTCATCCTCTTTTTCCTCCCTTTTACCTTTGGACAGTGACCTTCTCTTGCCCATGTTTGCATTCCACACACATTTGCTTTGCCAGCCTGTGTTTGAAGTTAGGCTTCTAACGCTCTGATTCTCCCATTTGAATTCCTAAGGGAGATCTGCTGGAAGCCATCCCCTTGCACTTCCCTGTGCCCCTCTGCCAGCCTTTGGGTGTGCATGTGTTCACTGGCTATGGCTCAGCCAGCTGACATTAGGCTTGTAAGCTATAGGAAATCAATTATATCCCTGATCTATGAGAACAAATCTCCATCCCTGAGCCCTCTTCTCTCCTGGAAGCAAGAGAAAGGCTGGTCAGCACCAACTTGAACACTGGCTTTTGGCCCTTCAGCATCAGCCCCCAGGAGCCAAGTCAGGCAGAGGGACTGTCTCGTGTGTTTGACACTAATGATTGGAGATCCCCATCCCCAAGCACCCAGTCAAACTGAAGGAGCTGTGGCAGGCCCATTGCAGCAGAAAGACCAGCTTGATGTGTCTGACACAGGGGTTTAACCAAAGGCCTTGCACACCTTGGCTTTCTGACCCTCTGCACCCACGGGCATCTCCCGTTCCCGGCTCGTACCGCGGGCGACAGCTCGGGCAGAGTCACTTGACTGAACACTCACCCCAGGGCTGGGGCTGTCCTGAGCTGCACTGCCACGGCCCTCAGCAGCAAAAAGAACATGGCACTCCTCCCTCAGCTGCTTCAGCTCAACATCATGTCCCCAGACCCGGCCAACAGCATCCCAGCAGTGCATAACTCCCTGAACTGGACTCAGCTTCATTCAGTGGAAAAGTTAATAACAGAGAACAAAATTCTAACAAAATTAGTATTTTTTATGTGCTTGAGAAAGTGAGCATCTCTTTAGCTGTCAGCTCAATTATTCTGTTAGGAATTAATTTGTTGATGTTTCCACAACTACAGCTTTCCAAAGCCCACACAAGAACAAATTACATGGGGTGGGAGAAAAAGGGGAAAAAGGTTTTGTTTTATTGAGATTAATTATAGTAGGGCTCAACAATTGGGAAACATGGAGTGTACAAAGACTGCTGCAAAGTGATAACCATTAACATGTTATTCTATAGAACTCCTAGATACTGTGAATATTTTCCAGCTGAAATCCATCCAAGTTTTCTTCTATCCATGGTTAGTCCAGGAACATTAATGATGAAAATCTAGACAGCATTACAGTGTGAACTATTAGATGTACACTGATGATACTTGATTTTATATTGCCTTTGGCTGAGTCAGGTCATAGAATTTCAATGATCTGAATTCTGGCCTGCATCTGCTGTTGAATGAATAAACAGTAAATCAAACTTAAGACTTTGTTACGGAGTTGAAAGTCTGTTTTGCTCCAGACCTGGTATATACCACAAGATGCAATCAAATACATTATTATCTGTCAAGCATCCAAAAATGAACTAAATGACTCATAAAAGCAATAAATAAGACATGGTCCCTGCCCCTGAAATACCTTACAGTGTAAAATTAAAACAAGCCTCCCAGAAAGTTTGAATGCTGGGGATCTAAATTAGTCCTCCAATGGAAAGGGAGGACACAGGTTACACAATATGACAAAATAGTTTTTCCTTAGTTGAAGGTGTGACTCCTTCCCCACTTCCAGTGTAAGTGTCAGATCCAGGAGGTTGCTGCAGGACACCCCCGAGTCTGGATCTGTTCCATTTGCCAGCCTGCAATACCTGGGTATCTCTGGCAAATCAGTGCTAATCTCTCCTCTAACTACAGCTCCCACACAAATAACTCAATACAATTTCAAAAGCTCTACCTTTAAAGCAAAAAAAATCCTAGTTCTGTGCAGCAATAACCAAAAATCACCATTTCAGAGCTGGCATCCTTCTGATTTGCAATACAGCCTAATAAAATCCTGGCTCAGGGAGAAGGGAAGGATCCTCCTACATCCCAGCAAGCCCAGCCTGACTGACAGCAGCTGCTCCTGAGATCTTTTGCAGAAGGCAGAATGTATTTCAAGAACACATCTAAACATCCAAACACAGCTGCACATATACAGCACCATACACACATGAAAAGAAAAATATTAAATAATTACAGAAATCTCCATTATACTTACTGCCTATGTTTTGCTGTTAAGTACTAAAACTATTATATTTCAAATATACACGGATTTAGTTTTCATTAGAAAGCTCTAGTAGGCATAACATAAAAACACTTTCACAATTTGTTAATGAAGACCTGCTGAAATTAATGACATTGAAAACTGTAGGTGTTTGGACAATACCAGCCACGAAGCTTCAAACTTCTGGTGGATTATAATAACCAAGGAGTCCTACAGTGACAGTGCAAACTGACCCTGCTGGTGGTGACTTTTCTCTTATAAAATTAGACCTTCAGCACATGACAAGTAAATTGAATATTAAATGGCTCACGGTACCAATGAAGAGTATCAATAACTACTCTGAAACAGAATCAAATAAAATTGTGCACTGCATTTTATGAAGTCTGAAACTCTCTCTACTGCCAAACCATTTTTACATGTATAGATATTTTTAAACATGGTTTAAAGTTTTCTGAGAACTGTTCTTTATCCAGGACTCGTATGGGAAAATGTGCAGAATAACTGTTCACGTTGTTGTCTTACCCCCATTGTTCAAACCCTGCCATAGACCTCCTCTGCTATGACCTGCCTGCAGTCTTTCCTCGTGGCAAAATCTGATGTCCCCACACACCTCTCCCTGTTATTCAGGTGTGCCTACAATGCAGTTGCTATTTTTTGTGATTCCAGAGCTGAAGAGTCAGTATAATCTGCCTACAGATACAAACCTTCCACAATATTGTTTTTGGTATTAGGACCAACTTTTCTTGGGAACACACTTTTTAAAGTGAGAAGTGTCCACTGAGATTAGATCCAATATATTCATTTTGTTAACAGCAATAAGACCTCATAAAACTTCGGAAGCTTTATTGGATTTCCTTTCCAGACATTAATCAAACAGATTTCTCTTAGTGAATGCAGAAATCCCTGAATCATTAAGTACCAAATCAATACTTTCGTGCTACAGACGAGAGTAAGAAATGAACCTGATTAGAAGACGCTGAAATCTTGATTAACATTGTTTTAATATATACCCGGAAACAAAAATTTTACACAGGCTATTGCCATGGTATTTGTCACTAAAAGTAAAACTCAGAAGAAAAGTATATATGCAGCAGTTTTCCTTTCAGATGCAATAATCATAAGGCCAGTCTAACCCCAAATGACAGGTTATTCCACGAGCAGTCCACAAAATGTCTCCAGAATCAGGCCCCAAGTGTCCTCTGTTACCAGCTGTATTCTCTATACTTTTAAGTGCCTATTTTACATGACTGGGCTCAGAGGTCCAAATTAACGGGATGAAGAAGATGGCATCATAAAAGCAGTCACAAAATGGAACAAATATAAATATTCCCTATGTTAGCACAAGTGACCTGCATTTATTAGTCCTTTAACAGGACAATCCTTAAACCCCCAAAGACAAGTCAATTAACACTCCCTCTTGGATAACTTGCACAGAACCCAACCACTTTACTACTTAATGTTCTAAATACAGTAAAGCTCGTTGCAGTTCACCAAGAGGTTGCATCTGAGTCAATGTGGAGAGCTGAGACCTGCTTTCACTCAGGAAAAAGCAAATGCACACTGAACTTCAATACTCTGATGTCCTCCAGGCTGAGCAGCAGCAGCACGTGGGGAGGAACAGCAAGGAACTGACACCTCACAAGGGACTGTCACCCCACAAGGAACTGTCACCCCACAAGGGACTGCCACCTCCCAAGGGACTGTCACCTCACAAAGGACTGTCACCTCCCAAGGGACTGTCACCCCACAAGGGACTGTCAACTTCCAAGGGACTGTCACCTCCCAAGGGACTGTCAACTTCCAAGGAACTGTCCCCTCACAAGGAACTGTCCCCACGGCGGGGGGTGGGGAGGCCCTCCCTACCTTCCCAAAGCTCTGCTTCCCGTGGGCTCATCCCCCAGAAGCCAGGACAGAAGAACACTGGGCATGGGCACCGAGCAGACCCTCAGCCCAGGGACAGCCCCCGCGGGGAGCAGCGTGCAGGAGGTGTCAGACCTGCACGGGGTGTCTGTCCAGGACAGCAAACTTCTGGGTGCCACGGGGAGGAGTGGGCACAGTTTATTACCAGCTAACGAGGTGTAAGAAGCTCAGATCTCGGCTGGCTGGAGTTGAGAGCAACACTAAGTGCCCATCGACTCTGGCTGCCTTGAGGAATCCGTTCCTGCTGTAAAATAACAGCCTTTAGCACATTCTGTAGAATGACATCACCCAAAGTGGGCTGCCAAAAATGTTACTTTCACATTTCTTCAACAAGATTTCCTTTCACCACTCTAAGTTCTAAGTATTTCCAGGCCTATAGATGAGATTTTAACACAAAAAAGTGACTATGCCTTTTAAAAATGTTGTGTTTAAATGTATCTTTTTTCCTGATTCTTTCTAGTAGATTTATATTTACAACCATGCTGAGCTACAATAATACAAGTCACTGCAATTACCATCCTGAACTGACTTCTTTCCCTTTTGATTTATCCCTATTCCACTGAAGAATACAACGTTTTATGACAGTATGTGTGTTTGTTTAGTGAGCTGTAGGCAACCCACTGGAAATACTGAACATGAACAGTGAGATGTCAGTCAAATAAGAACATTTTTGCATTTTCAAGGAAGCTGCTTAAAGCTCACCGGGTGACAAGCCCAGCAATGCATTCCACTCCCCCGGATAGCGCAAACAAGCAACAAGAAGCCACTTAGTTGCAGAAATCATGGTTCTTTCACTGAAATATTTAAGGTAAGCTCTTCCGTTTTTCGGTTCTGATGGTTTTGCATTTTACCTTGGCAGAACCCACAGCTGGAGGACACAGGAGTTTTCGTTCAGGGCTCATTGGTCTCAGGTGTTTTCCATCATTAAGTTTGATCAAGTCAACATCCAGATTCTCAGGGCAGAAATTGTCTTCATTACTAAGTTTGAACATAAATAAGATAATTCAGTGTTACCTAATGATGTAAAGCCTGGGATCATTTCCCTTCAGGGGAAAAAAAAAAGGATAATTTTCAGGGTGTTCAAACTTGGAGTATAAGTTAAGAGCTATAGATGCAACTCAATGCTATTTCTGTGACTTACAAGAATACTTTACATTAATCTTTTGTAGCTCCTGTTACTAAGCAAATGAATAGAAATACTACTGCAATTCAGATACTTTTTTTTTTACAGGATCTGAACTAGTCTTAGTCCTAAATTTGAAGCCCTTTGTACGGTACAAAAAATAAAGCATCTTTCAGAGAACAATGCAATGTTATCAAGGGAGAGACAAGATAGCTGAATGCAATTTTCTAACATTTTAATCCAATGTTACAATGTCTTAAACATCAGCAAAACTGTCATAATTCTAATAAATATTTACATAGTGTACATGTGGGTAATATGTTTTAATGACAGACCTTTGAAGAAAAAAATATTCTTTAGTTATTTTTCTCAGTGCTTCCACAATGACTTTTTTAATATAGATTGATAACATTATGAAAAAGTGGAGCAGATCACAATTGCTGGTGTTTTGATTTGCTTCTAAAGTAATATCTAATATTGTCCAGGAACATGTTGCAGTGCTCATGTGAGAAACATTAAAAGTTCCTTTTTTACTTGTTTATTGTTAAAGAGCCCATGCAACAGTAAATTTAGAACCCCGGATTTGCACCAAATTGTCATCTATGACCCCATTTTAATGTAAACCTTGAGAAATTTCCACAGTTACTTTGGGTTATGAATAAATGAAGGAGAACAAGATTTTAAGGGTCTAATTTCATGAGTTGCAGCTCTTCCTTCTGCATGTCATCCAGTTACAAATACTTTGGGGCTGCTTTCTATTGCCTGTCCTCAGATGACTGATAAAAGGCTGATACCGTCAAAGTCATTCTCTTTTCTTGGGACAAGGAAACAAGAAAAGAAGCACAAATTCACATGGTAGTCAAATCCAGTGATCCCAGGGTGGCTCAGTGAAGTGAATGGAGTCTCACACAGGCATAAAATGAACTGTTACTCGTTACTCCAGGCATCAGAGCATCCATCGAGATTAAGTGTGTTTATACAATGAAAGGCATTTTTAAAACACAGAGGAGAAAAAACCAAACCAACACATGGACAGAGCAAGGGAGATTTTATTCGGTTCTGTGTATGATATAATATTTAGTAGAATCACAATTACTTTTGAAGTTCAAACAACATCCTTGCACTTCCAGTGGTACTTGCAGATTGAAATCCCCTTTTTTAAAAGCGCATCAGGGCAAGGTGAGCTGAGAGACAAACTGCACAAACCCCATTTGGTGGCATTAACTGCAGAAAACAGGAACTTTTTCCCCCCAGTGCTTGTGGGGCTGCCATAAGAGCCGCAGTGCTCGGGTTACACATAATCCCCCAGCTGCGAGGAGACAATTAGCACCACAATCCCCAGCAAAGCTTTCAGCTCTCAACAGGTGCCTCACCATTGTGCTCAGGTTTAAATCAAAATCTGGCAGAGGGAATGTCCCACCTCCTGTCACCCCTCCCCTTTGAAACCACTCTCATTACAGCCCCGGTCAGAGCGGCTCCACTCTCCTTTTCTCCAAAAAGACCAAACATGACTTTCACCCCTTTGTTCGAGTGCTTTTTCCCCCCTTTATCTGCCTTCATCAGTCTGACTGAGAGATCTGAAGGCAGGAAGTGCAATTTATTTGTTGCGTATTATGAGTCTACTACTTTTCTCCTGACGGGTGAAAACAGGAGCAAATCCTTTGAGAGTCATATAATTATATTGACAAAAACGAGAGTCTTTCCCTTTTTCTGGGCAGTTTCAGAAGTGATAGTCCAGAAAAAAAAAATGCACAAATACATCAGTCCAACATTAATATTGTATCTGCATTAAGGTGTGAATTATAATCTGAATTTTTGTGTCATGCATTATAAAGTTTCCTTTCCAATAGAAAATCATATTCTTTAGATTAAAATTTGTTTCTGTCCTTCAGAATATGTTCACAAGGCAGAAACGGCAAAGTGTCTCTTACAATTCCAACTTCTACAGTAAGTATAAACACTGTTTGAATACTCCTCAAAATTTTTCTTTTCTTCAAGTGTAGAGTCATGCTCTACCCAAAAGAAATATTTATTGTGAAGAGTTCCCCCCTTGATAGTCAGTCAAGATTTTCTAATCCAGTAAAAAATACTTTTTTGGCCAAATAAGCAATTTAGAACCCCACAATACTCAGGGGAGGCTGACTGCCTAGTGAATTAATCATTTATAATGAATAAAAAGAAAATGGTTGAGAGATACCAAAAGATGCAGTAAAACACGATGACACTTAAAAGAATAAAAAAACTTGATGTTGAACTGACTTATTTCCATATGGAGACAGGACTGATAATAAAAACCAGATATTTCTTTGGTGCAATTCATTTTATAAACTCAAGTTTCCAGAACACAATGAGAAAACAGCAAGTAGATTAATCCTGCACAACGTCCAGTTTGTTTTCTTCTCTGCATCTCGTGGAGTCCTTTTGCCATTACCTTTCTGGGCCGTGCTCATGGCTGCTTCTCCCAGTTCTGTGCTGCCTCCTGGTTTCCCTCCAGCTCATGTGGGCAGGTCCCAGTGGCTCACACCCTGCCCTAGCAATCAGTTCCCAGGGAACTCAGCCAGCATCCTAAAAAAATGTGCTAGTGCTTGCTAAGTCTTTCCTACCAATTTTTACTAGTATTTTTTCCCCATCAATCTAAATTTAGTAACAATTAATTCTTAATTATGCATCTCTTTCCCCCTTGGATCTGCAGCCTCCCCTGGATGAGAAGTGTTGAATGCCATAGGAGGGAGGGCCACAAAAATACCATAATTTAACCTACAACTGAAGCCATGCACTCCCTGTCCCAGCAGCCATCATCTCATGGTCAGAACATGGAAACAGCTCCCAGTTGTGTTGCAATTTCCTGCCATTCCTTTGGGATGGTGATAGGAAATAATTCTCCTCCTGCACTGAAGCTGGCAGCCAAAGAATGGCACCCTCCAAGTCAGCACCCTGGGAGCACAGCCTTACCCAAAGCCTAAAGGATAAAGACTGTTTGGGACAGTGGATTTAGAAAAGAGGTGCAGATGAGACAAATTGGTCTGAGAATATTAAAACAAGGTAAGAACAGAGAAGAAAAACCAATGTCCCTGGCAGTTTGCCAGCGGTAGGAAAAAGCTCTGTATTGAAATAAGTATATTCCTGTAACTGTGGCAGATCTAGTTTTCACAGCTCTGTCTGGTAGAATTCAATATCTACCGCTCTGCTAAGTAGCAGAATTATACCTTTTCTTATCAAAACTCAAAACAAAAATTCAAAGTCTCAAATTTTCATAGATCAAAATTGACTCCAACAGAAATGGCAAAACCACTGCAACCTAAAGAGTATATTCTCTAATTGCCTTCATGCAACTACCATCACTTGCAGGAGCAAAGCCTGGAAACAACAGGAACGATCCTGGACTTTTCGTATCTTTTTTAAAGCTTGTGAATTCATTGAAACCTGTCTCCTCCCACAACATCCTTATGTTTCCACAAAACAGCAAATCCATACTGAAACAAAAATCTTCACCTAAATGTTTCCAACCCACTTTCCCAGAGAGGTTTCATGGATGACAGAGACTGCCCTGCCTACTTACTTCATTAGGCAGGTGACCAGCAGAACACACAAAGCCAGAAAGGACAGGATTTTGACTCCCAGCCACCCTGGATTTCAGGCCAGTTACAAAGATAAGTGGACAACTTGAAGTCATCATTATGTTATATGTTTCACTGGAAAATATTTGTCTTTTTTAGGGATTCACACTGACTGTAGAAAACACCCTAAGCAGGAGATGAATTTCACTCTGTTGAATTATTTTGTTAAAAGGAGCTTAGCATTCACTGAAAGCCAAGATTTAATTGTCATAGCTTTTCAATAATTGTAATAAAGAGACAAGACCCTTATCCAAATTATTTACAATCTAAACAAGACTGAAGTAGCAAGGAAACACCAGACAATACTGATGACTATAAACATAAGTAATCTCAGGAAATCAAAAGCCTGTTGCAGATAGGCAATCTATATTGTAGATTTTTGTGCATGTGAAAACAAAGTCCAGTTTATTTCGGGGTGCTTCTAAGGAGCTTCTCCAAAATATGAAGGACATGAAAGTGAGAACATACAGGGACTTTATCTGGCAGTTCACTGAACACATGACAGAGCCACGTCTTGGCTCTAAAAGAGGGGCACAAAATTAAGGAAAAGACATTAGAAATAAAGACACCAGAAGGCAAAAGAAATCAGGAAGCACCTATACAGAGAAAGAGGTGGACAAAGGAGAAAAAAAGTTTAATGAGTGAACTGGAAGTGGTGCAAGGATTGCTGGACTTGAGATGTCCAACATTTACAGAGCTTCAGCTTTTTTGCTGAGGGGAGAACAGAGATGATGGGTACAGCCCAGTGTGGGATAGTTCTGAAGTCAGAGAACATATGCTTTGAGTTTAATCCAACTGCAGAGTTCTGGCAAACAGGCTGCATTTATAGTGGCAAATACATCAACTTCAATTTTTTAGCAGCTGTGCTGCCCTTTAATTTCTCATACCCTGAAGTGCTGTACACTTGTACCCCTCTCCCTCACCTCCAGAAAGCACATCCCTTAGAACAGCCCAGCCTTTCTATCTGAAGCCAACTAACAGCTCCTGCCCACTGGAATTTTCTTTGAGATATACTGTTATTTTCCACTTGTTCTGCCCATTTTCTTCTTAATCAAACACACATTGAAGTGTCTTCCTAGGAAGGCTGAGCCATACCAGCAGGAACTACGACTCTCTGGCAAGCTTCTCCCTAGGAATTCCAAGCTATCCCAGATCTAGAGAGCCTCCTTTCACAATTCAAGCTGCTTCTCCCAGACCCACCAGCTCGCCTAGCTCTGCTCCAATATCTCCAAGCACTTCTGCAT